TTGTTTTATAGACATGACCTTTGGAGGGAAGGGGCTGGCAGTGGGCAAGGGATACAGTGGGATTGAGTAATTCCAGCCACAGGCCTCGTGTGGACCCAGGGCCCCAATGTGCCAAGAACAGGAACACGACCGGCTCCACCCTCTGCAGTGGACCCTGGAAAAATCCTCCGAGGCTTTTCTCCTGGGAATGTAATCCTTACAGCAGGTGCTGGCAAGGGTGTGGAGAAGCTGGAACCCTGGCACACTGTCGGTGGGAGTGTAAAACGATGCAGCTGCTGTGGAGAACAGGGCAGAGGCTGCTCAAAATTAAAGCAGAGCCATTGTTTCTGTGGATCCAGCCACCCCACTCCCGAAAGTTTGCCCTGAAGAACTGAAGGCTGGTCTAGCACAGAGGCTTTCAACGCCCCAGTCCCGCCATGTCCACTGCAACACTGTTTACAGGACCTGAGGGATGGGAGGAGGAGGACAACTGGATGAGCAGGATGTGGTCACCCAGCAAGGGAGTAGGATCCTGCTTGGAAAGGAGGGGTTCTGACCCGTGCTGCACCATGGACGTGCCCTGGGGATGTGTGTGTGTGAACGCAGCTAACTCTGAGGAACATTACTGTGGGATTCCGCTTACGGGAGGTCCCTGGAGTCCAAGCCCAGGGCCGGGAGGGGATGGGCATGGTGGAGGGGGGGGGGTTGTTCCGTGGGGCAGAGCCTCATTTTGGGAAGATGAGAAAGTTCTGGAGATGATGGTGTGGTGTGTGCATGAGCTTAAGCCTGCGGAGCTGTGCATGTAGCCCGGATAAAACGGTCAGTTCCATGTCTTCTGTGTTACCACTCTAAAATTTTGACTGAGAAAACTTATCTCCGACAGACTTCACTGTTCTGCTGATGGCGTGTGGTCACAGCTCCCACAGACCCCTCCCCACCACCTGCCCCCTGCCCCCCGCCCCCTGCCCCGCCCTGAGCGCAGGTTGTGCTCTCTGCAGCCCTGCAGACCCCCACCCTCTCCGCTAACTGGGGACCACGCACACCCCGCCCGTGCCGGCACTCCAAAGCCTCTCTCCTGCCCCCTCTGCTCCCCCCGCCCCGCAACTCCCCCGCTCCCTGTGGGCAGCCCGTAGGCCTCCTCCATCAGGGAGATGTTCTGTTTTCTGAGGAAGTTGCTTAGGATGATAATTATCTTGCTTTCTGGTAAATTCTCAGGGGAAAAGAAATAATTTTGGCTTTTTTTTTTTTTCCCAACTTGGAATTTCTTTTGAAAACTAGCCTCTGTTCGGCCTTGCTGCTCCGTGTGGGTGGGTCCATTTCACATCTGTCATGTTCTGTGCTGGGCTCCCTGGCCGGGGGTTTTGTAGAAAACAGTCCGCAGCCCTCCGTGGCCTCTTCCACAGAAGCGTCCAGGAGAGGCGGCTGTGTTCCCCATGGACCCATGGGCACTGCATCCGCCTCCTCCTCCTTCCCCTACACATGGGGGCCATCCCCCGCCACCGCCCCTGGTCCCCAGGGACTGTCCTGGAGGAGGACACAGAAAGCTAACAGGAGGCCAAGTTTCTATCAGCAGGAGTCCTGTCCCTGCCTGCCTTTGCCCGTGTGTGCCCAGCGGGGCTGGGGCTAGGCTGTGCCCGCCTGCATGGGAGGGGCTCTGCTGTGACATCCTCGCCTCCAGGTTGGGCACCCACTGGGCTGCCTGGGGGCTCTGTTACCTTGTACGCATCTCTGGGTGAACCTGGGGACACACAAGACTGTGTTGAGAGGCCATTGGCCACGGTCCCCATCTTCTAGGGGCGCATGGCCTGTGCCCTCCACCCCAGAGACCCTGTGCCAGGTCTGAGAGGTGAGAGCAAATGCTGCTCGCCCCGCTGTGTCCTCCTATCACCCGCTGCAGCCGGGGTGGCCGGGGACTCTGCACTGGCCGAGGCTTGGGGCCCTCATCTCTGCAGCCAGAGCAGGAGTGCAGCGCCCTGTGAGCCACAGAAGGTCTTCAGCCGTGTCTACTCTGTGTCCTTTTCTCAACACACACGGTAACGGAGGACCGCCAGTCCTGGCAGTTTTTGAAAGAAGACTTTCTTTCCCTCTTGGCAACTTGTCTCTTTAAAGACACTGTGCTCTTTTTATGGACGGGAAATAACTTCACAAATAGCACTTTTACTTTAGCCCCGAGACCCCACCCGGCCCCCACCGCCCACCTCTCACGGACAGACTTGCCCTCATATCTATCTTCCCTCAGCCTCGATGTTAACCGTCACGAGGTCAGAGTATAACTCTCTGGGGGACCCCAGCCTTGTAGGGATTGGGCTGAAAATCAGGAACAAATTGCAGTGAAGTGAAGACACTGGCTGCAGCCCCAAGGCCAGGCGTCCGGGGCGCCATCTGTGCTGCGGGGCGGCTGGCGCCTGAGCGGATTGGCTTGGCTTGGCTTGGCAGCCCGTCCTGGCCGTGTTTTCCTTGGGGGGTGGGTGGCTGGGTGGGGGGTGCCCTTTGCCTTGTGATTTATATGCGGTCAGAGGAGCCCAGTTGCAGTCTCTTCTGGCTGGAGTGTCTCTGACGTTCCATTTCATTGCAGGGCCATCAGCTGGGCCACTGTGGAATGTCCCTGGGGACCCGGCGACCTCCCAGTCGGTTCGTTTGTGCAGCAGAATTCTAAGCGCCTTGCCTAACATCTGCGTCCTATTAATACGTTCAGAGCATTTCCACCAGCTTTGGAAAGTCAGGAGATGCTCGGAGGGAGGCTCAGCCCCAGATCCTGGGGCATTTTTGACTCTTTCCCTTGTGAGTCTTCTGGATGCAGTCTCTGCCCACTCCCTGGACTCTGTCCTGCTTCCTCAGCCATCACCCAGCTGGCCATTCACTTTCCCAGGTGAACCCAGGGGCCAGGTGGAGGCCCGCGGTGGATGGCGGTCTGCGAGCACATGGGAGGACGGTGGTGCAGCTCAGACCCTCTGCTGAATTTGCTTGGCGTGAGAGGGGCCACCCTGCAAGGGCCCCGCAGCACTGGGCTCCGAGCCCCAGAAGGCCTCCGGGCCACCTGTCCTCTGAGGGCTGGAAGGCATGGGAGAGGGAGGGAGGGAGGAAAAGGCTTGACGAGACGGTGCAGTAAAGTGATAGACGTGGGGAGCATTTCTTAAAGCGAAGTAAAAACCATTTCTAATGTCTGGGAAGATGGAAATGAACCTGTATCAGTGAGAAGTCGCTGTGTGTGGTGCCGGGGCAGGGTCTGGGTGGAGACCTCAGAGGGGCTAGGGTGCTCAATCCTTGGGGGGAGAGTTCATGGGATAGACACTAGCGATTGACCCGCTGGACTCAGGTTCCAGGAGGTTCTGTCACCAAGTGTGGGCTGTGGGTCGGGCAGGGGAGCTGCCGCACCTGCTGGATGCAGAGGCCCATGGCCCCAACTCAGTCACGCTGCCCAGAGTGTGTCTGAAGGGGATACACTGTAATTATCTAAAAGAGATAGAAAAGAAGCCTCTTTTTCTGAAAAGTCTTGGGAACAATTCTGATGACCTGGCCTTCATCACCTGAGATTTCAGTTCTTGGAGTTCGACTGGAGAATTGCCAGTCTGGGTTAAACTGAGGAGTAGTGTTCTAGGAAGTTCAGAGAAGAGCCAGACTGGATGAGGATGGCCTCCCTCACCCAGCCCCTCACCAGGAGTGGACCACGTCCAGGGAGTGCCCTGGACCGAGGACAGCCTTCTGCCCCGCCTCAGCCCCTCTGCTGCCCCGCAGCCTGGTCGGGCCCACAGACCTGCCCTCCACCAGCATCTGTCCTGTGGGCACCCTGTGAGCAGAAGGCTCAAAACCCGTCCATCTTCTTTCCCTTTGTCAATATTATGCAAAGTTGCTTGGAAGACAAACAGATACAATCGCTAAGGGGCCGGATCCTCGGGTCAGGAAATTCCTGAGCTCACGTGTCTGCGGGGAGGAGGCCCCCTAGGATGCACCCCCTCACGCTGCATTCAGGACCTGCTTCCGCCTGTTCTCACAGCTGCTGGGCTGAGCGGGGGCCATGGCTGTGGGCTGGATGCTGGACGCGGCGGAACAGGCAAACGCTGGGCGTCAGGGTCAAGGCAGGCGGCCGTCCACTCACTTCCTCCCGACAAGAGGAGCCGATTCGGGCCTCTGCTGCTTGCTCAGCGGATTTGAGAGCTGGTGGGTTTTATGAGAGACTTGAATCCTCTTCCCAGAGGCTGAATCCCATGGACAGAGGAGCCTGGGGGGCTCCAGTCCATGGGGCGCAAGAGTCGAGACACTGAGCGACTAAAGCACCACCGCCCAGAGGCTGAGCCAGGTGCAGGGCTACCCTGGCAAGGAGCTCCTTGGTTTGGCGGGTCATGCAGTTGAAGCGGAGCAGCAGTGAGAGATCCGCCACCTTGAAGGGTTTCCTGGTCTTGGCATCCAAGGGGGCCCCCCACAACTGGCTCGGGGTCCTTACTTGACAGAGAGGATGCGACAAACCTACAAGATTAAAAGGCAATTTCTGTTCATTTGCAAGATACACAGATCTTGCTGAGGATTCCTGCATGGCCGCGTCAGCACAGAGGACGACCTGCTGGGACAGAGGCTGCTGTGCCTTCCATGTGGGGTGCTGTCCCCCTGCCTTTGCCTGAAAAATGTGGGTCTGGGGTCCCGACGGAGAGCTCCCTAGGCTGACACCTGTGGTGCTCCCTCCTGTTAGCACTGGAATTAAGGGAAGTGTTAGCCACTCAGTCATGTCCGACTTTTTGCAACCCCATGTACTGTTTCTGCCAGACTCCTCTGTCCATGGGATTTTCCAGGCAAGAATACTGGAGTGGGTTGCTGTGTCTTCCTCCAGGGGATTTTCCCAACCCAAGGATCAAACCCAGGTCTCTTGCATTGCAGGCAGATTCTTTACTGACTGAGCCACCAGGTAATTAAGGGAACCGAGGCTCAAAAAGGTCAGGCCAGCTGCTTGAGGTCACCTGGAGCGGGAGTGGGTGGGATTCTCCGTACTTTGTGGTTCTCCAGGATGCCCCCCTGGGGAGCCACAGCACATGCAAGAGTTCAGGGCTTTGCCTGTGAGAGAATCGGGTTGCTTTCACCCTCTCTCATGCACACTGTGGGACTGTTCTCTCCTCCCGACCCTGCCCGGTGACGTGGCTCCTGTGTGGTCAGGCAGTGCTGCAGAGGGGACCCTGGGCTCCACCCCCAACACGCGTGTGATGGCAGAACCGGGCTGGGAGGATCCGTGCCCTGCTCCATGGTGTGAGCTGGACGGAGGCGGGTCAGGGTCCCTCAAGGGCAGTGTTGGCTGGCTCCCGGTCGCTAGTGAAATGAACCGTCTCCCGAAGTTTAAGGTGCAGGGGTGTGTGTGTGTCCTGTGGCCCTTTGACTGTGACCCTGGACCATCTCTGACAGGCAGGGGACCTCTTGTCTTGGTTTGCCCTGAGTGTCCAGCTGGTCGTCTGTTCCAGTGCAGTCATGGGTGGGCAGAGACGGGACTGTAGGCTCCCCTGTGTCCCCCCACGATGCCAGTTGGAGGAGGGCTCCTTCCCTGCCCAGCCCAGCAGGCTGCCCGCTGGGCAGCCGTCCTACCCAAACCTATTAATAGCCTGTTTCCAGTAGATTCCCCATCAAGCCGGGCCTCATTTTTAGCAGCTCCCTGTTACAATTGTAGGAAAAGTTGCCTTTGAACGTCTTCCTGCCAGAGGATGGTTCAGCCCCCGCTCCCATGTGCCAGGCGGGTGCCCCTCCACACACTCCTCCCCACGGAGGGGGGAGGCGACCATCTGTCTGGGAGCCGCCTGGACGAGCATCTGGGGAGGGGGCGGGGGTGCCCTGCCGAGCTCGCAGGGACTCATGTCTCCTCCCTGGCTCCTGGCTCATCACACCTTTAGGTTCATCTGGAGATGGGTCCCCTGCCAGGTGGCCACCTCCCTGGAGTGCCCTCGCCTGCTCCCACCAAAGAGAAGCAGCTCTTGGGAGGTTAAGGTTACATTCCCATCAGAGGTGCCCGGGGCCTGGTGCTCCGTGCTGAGCAGGAGTGACCTCTGCCATGGGGGCCCTCCCCCTATGGGCTGGCTGTACTCTTCTGCTCTTTCCTCCACACGGGCAGTTATCCTTCCAGACAGCGGGGTTCCTTCTGGGCTCAGCTCTCCAGGCTGGAGTTTGGGGCTGGAGGCTCAGCCCAATCCCCTGGGCTTCCTACGGCGCCATCGGCAGTTTCCTGGCCTGGATGCTGGGTCTGGAGTGGGACCTGGGGAGGAGCAAGCAAGCCTGGGTCCAACGGTTTCGTCCTGTTCCAGAGTGGCCTGAATCTTGTAGGTTATGCTCACCACAGGTGATGATGTGAAATTTGACTCCTGACTATGCATGCTTAACACGGAATCTTCCTTCATTCAGGAAGTTACTTTCATAGACAAAAATATTAATAAGTAAAAATTAAAAGCAATCTATCTTTCACTTTCAAAAGACATGAAAAAAAAAAAAGACACAGACTCCCAGCCTCTAGCAACACGGAACATCTAATGCTTCCTGAGTTTCTCATCCTCACGGAGCGGGGGCGGGGTGTGGGTGGAATGTGGGGTTGAAAAGACCTCCTTCCCTGCTGGGGGGTTGTGGGGTCGCAGCCCTGCTCTCACCATGGTGGCTTGGGGCTGAAGGGCTCTGGCAGAGAGAGCGTTTATTTTTGTAGCATCACTTCCTTACTCCCCCAAACGATAACTGTTTGGATTATTTATTATTAAATCAGAGGGGGCAGGAACCTCAAATCTAATTTGGTTTTCACTGTTTGCACACTCTTTGTTTATCTTTCATTCATTACTGAGCTTGAGAAAGTATGAGAGAGAACTGGCCATTCGATCCACTTTGTCTGCAAGTTTCCTTCGGCTGCTTCTTAGCTGCAGCACTTCTTTCTCGGCTACTCGTGTTATTGAAATAATAACGTTTATCCACGAATACTCCAAAATGCAGAAGGAAAAGACCTGAAGTAAAACACGCAAGGAATCATTCCACATATACGGCGCCCCGGGGGGCCCAGGGAGAAGATAGCCTCCACAGGCGCCAGCCTCGCAGGTGAGCCCCTTGAAAGAAGTACCCCTGTTTAGTATGAAGACTTTAGGGGCTTGACCACAGTGACAATACAGAGCATCCTGAATGCCCCTGCTCCCACAGACCCACTCAAGGGACACCGCCATATGGGGTAACTTCACCAACCAGACAGGGAGCCAGTTGGGGTTTGACAGGAGGACCCTCCTGCCTGCACAGTGTCTGTGCCCTTTAAATCTGCCTTAAAACCAAGAACCAGGGAAAAAACCAGAACAGAGCAAGGTCTGGCAGTGAACGTCTAGGTGGACTGAAAACAAGCAAAGGGAGAGGGAGAAGGCGACCTGGCTGGGTTCAGCCTCTGCAGCGACTCCTCCGTGAGCCAGACTCTCCTCCCTGGCTGTCCTCCTCCGAGGGAGGGGCGCTGCCCTCGTGGCAGGGCCTGGAGCCAGACCCCAAACCTTCGGCTGCTTGACCGGCCCGGCCGGCAGCCCTCCTTGGAAGCCCTCCTGCTCATCACCGAGTGCTAGGAAATGAGCTGCCTTTCGCTAAGACGATGGGGGGAGGATTCTGTGTAAAGGTGCTGTGTAAGAAGCTGCTTTCGGTTTTCCTGCGAATGTGTGTCTGTGTCCAGGGTGTGCTCCCGTGGCACAGAGGCAGCCCCAAGGGCCAGATCACAGTTACAGCCATGGAATGAGCTAAGCTCAGGTCAACAAGTGTAAATAAATATCCAGGCCCACGGGCCAGCCCAGCCCTGAGATGACTGAGTTCCATATAAAGGCTTCATTGAAGCCTTTCAGGACAAGATTGCAAAACCCCTGAGTCGGCAACGTCGCTAAGAGAGTCCAGTAAACAAAACCCTGGACATTATGGGGCCCGCGCCCTCCGCCAGCCTGCCCACTGGCTTTGATTCATCCTCAGTCCACATCAACGTCCAGAGTTCAGAACAAGATGTTTGGGGAAGGATGAGAAGCACGGATTGTAATACTCTTGGAGAGGCAGGTTTCAGTAGTGATTGGGTGGAGGTGACGTGGCGGCCCCCCAGCCTGTCCCGAGGGCTGGGGGTGTCAGACATCTACTCACCCATGACCACAGTCCTCTCTGACCCGGTTCAGAGTCTGGACTGGTGTGTCCGGCCCACCAGGGGTTTCCAGAGACCCTCTAAGACACTACTGTTTGAGATGCTTTGCTGAGCAGATGCTAGAGACCGAGACTTGCAGATTCTCAGAGTTTGGACAAATCTTAGAGATGAGGAGCAGAAGTTTGAGGACTGGGCAGCAGAAAAGAAAAGTGAGGGTTTTAGCATCTTGGGTAGAGTGGCTGTGTTTGCTTGGGATTTAATCATAAGAATAAGTTCTGTTCCGAGGACTTGGTCGGCATCTGTGTTCCAGGAATGACTTTGTCAAAGGTGACGGGTGGGAAAGAAATGGTTCTGGAAAAGGGCCCATAAAATGTGTCTGTCATCCGATATACAGCACATGTGTGCTCCACCCAGGGACCTGTTGCAGGTGCTGACCCCTCTCGGGCTTCTGTGGATGGTGGCACCCCCCACCTTTCCCCTGTAGATCCGTGTCCTGTGCTGCTCCCAGGGCTGGGGTGGGGAGGTGGGAGGATAGGGGGCTGGAGTGGCCTGGCAGCAGCCCAGCCTCAAGTGGGATGTGGCGAGAGAGGAGGGCTTCTGGCCCCATCACCCTCAGAGGAGGGCCCTGGAGTCAGAGCCCACTGGGCTGGTGACATTAGCAGCTGGGGGTTCTGTCCTTGAAATGAAATTAGAGAGAGATTGGAAGATTTTCTGGTCCATGCTTTAGAATTAGAGAGCATCCTTTCAGAAGTCCATACAGAGCCTGTCGCCGTTCACAGAGGCCCTGCTTCCCCAGAGATGGTGACTTTGGGTTTCCTGAAACACTGGTGGGTTTGCATTTCTAATTTCTTCTCCATGGTAGAGCTTGGAACGCTGTGTTGGTGACAAAGATTTAAGTTGGTGTATGTTTAAGTATGGAAGCATTTGTATTTGTGTCCAAAGTTTTGTGATGTCATGTGCATATGCACTTAACTGAAATCTAAGACTGTATCTGTGTGTTTGTCCATCTGTCTCACAGATGCACTCAAACACGTTTGTAAAGTATAATTTTCATCCATTTAAATACAATCAAACTATGTCACCAGTCACAGGCAAAAATGAGAAAGAGCAAAAGACATTTTAAAGTAAACTTTTGAAGAATGATTTGGAACTTACAGGAAACTTGCCAGGGTTGCACCAAGGCCCCATTCAAATGTGTCCAAGTGTTGCAACAACAGCCTTCATCAGGGCCCATTGCACCCTTCTCCCGGCTCCTCACCCATCTTCCATCTAGAACAGCGTCTCTGTGTTTCCTTGACTTTTGTGACTGTAAACATTAAGAAAAAACCAATGCTAGTAATTTTCCAGAATACTACTCCATTTGAGATGATCCAGAGTTTGCTCATGATTAAACCTGGTCTGTACATGTTTTGGCCAGATTATCAAAGCAATGATCTGATATCAAGTGCCAATCGATGTTGACTTTTCTTGTTACTGAATTTGATCACATGATTAAGAAGTTCTGTGCTCACTTCCTCCACCATGAAGCCCCTTCAGCTTGTCTCTATATCAATAAGTGTTGTGAAGGTGCCCTTGAGACTGTTTAAAGTCTCATGCCTCACTAATTGGTGTTTCTTGCCAAAATAGCTGACCACCAGGGTGTAGCAAGACATCCTGGAATGCAAAGTTAAGTGGGCCTTAGGAAGCATCACTATGAACAAAGCTAGTGGAGATGATGGAATTCCAGTTGAGCTATTTCATATCCTAAAAGATGATGCTGTGAAAGTGCTGCACTCAATATGTCAGCAAATTTGGAAAACTCAGCAGTGGCCACAGGACTGGAAAAGGTCAGTTTTCATTCCAATCCCAAAGAAGGGCAATGCCAAAGAATGTTCAAACAACCACACAATTGCATTCATCTCACACACTGGCAAAGTAATGCTCAAAATTCTCCAAGTGAGGCTTCAATAGTATGTCAATCATGAACTTCCAGATATTCAAGCTGGATTTCGAAAAGGCAGAGGAACCAAAAATCAAATTGCCAACATCCACTGGATCATACAAAAAGCAAGAGAATGCCAGGAAAACGTCTACTTCTGCTTTATTGACTATGCCAAGGATCACAACAAACTGTGGAAAGTTCTTCAAGAGATGAGAATACCAGATCATCTTACCTGGCTCCTGAGAAATCTGTATGTGGGTCAAGAAGCAACAGTTAGAACCATACATGGAATAATAGACTGGTTTCAAATTGGGAAAGGAGTACATCAAGGCTGTCTATTGTCACTCTGCTTATTTAACTTATATGCAGAGTACATCATGAGAAATGCCAGGCTGGATGAAGCACAAGCTGGGATCAAGATTGCCAGAAGAATTATCAATAACCTCAGATATGCAGATGATACCACCTTAATGGCAGAAAGTGAAGAGGAACTAAAGAGCCTCTTGATGAAAGTGAAAGAGGAGAGTGAAAAAGCTGACTTAAAACTCAACATTCCAAAAACTAAGATCATGGCATCTGGCCCCATCTTTATGGCAAATAGATGGGGAAACAATGGAAACAGTGACAGACTTTATTTTCTTGGGCTCCAAAATCACTGCAGATGGTAACTGCAGTCATGAATTAAAAGACACGTGCTCCTTGGAAGAAAAGCTATGACCAACCTAGACAGCATATTAAAAAGCAGAGACATTCCTTTGCGGACAAAGATCTGTTTAGTCAAAGCTATGGCTTTTTCAGTAGTCATGTATGGATGTGTGAGTTGGACCATAAAGAAAGCTGAGTGCTGGAAAATTGATGCTTTTGAACTGTGGTGTTGGAGAAGATTCTTGAGAGTCCCTTGGACTGCAAGGAGATCAAACCAGTGAATCCTAAAGGAAATCAGTCCTGAATATTCATTGGAAGGACTGATGCTGAAGCTGAAACATCAATACTTTGGCCTCCTGATGTGAAGAACTGTCTCATTGGAAAAGACCCTGATTCTGGGAAGGATTGAAGGCAGGAGGAGAAGAGGATGACAGAAAATGAGATGGTTGGATGGCAATACTGACTTGATGGACGTGAGTCTGAGCAAGCTCTGGGAGTTGGTGATGGACAAGGAAGCCTGGAGTGCTACAGTCCATGGAGTTGCTAAGAGTCAGACACAACTGAGAGACTGAACTGAACTGAGGGTGTATTTTTATTTCTTTTATTTGCTAGGTTTTTACTGCA